CTTCCTTCCCAGGGGACGACATCAGCTCCCTCCAGCAGGAAATCACCATCCTGCGCGAATGCCGCCACCCCAACGTGGTGGCCTACATCGGCAGCTACCTCAGGTGAGGCCGCGCTGTCCTCCCGCCCCCGGGCAGCCCCGTGCGGCCTGCCGCGTGCCCACCCCAGCTCTGTGTCCCCCCAGAAATGACCGCTTGTGGATCTGCATGGAGTTCTGCGGAGGGGGGTCCCTGCAGGAGATTTACCACGGTGAGGGCCGGGGCTCCAGGGCCCAGAGGGCCACAGCCTCCCCCACCCCCCTAAAACTCGGGGCAGGAGAGGGAGTCTGGGCCCTGGACTTGGGCTTCTCTCCACTCTTGACTAGCTGTGTGACCTTGAGGGAAACGCTGTCCCTCTCTGGCCTCAGCATCCAGACTGATTTGGCAGGACATGGGGCCAACACCCCTCTCACTGAGCAGTGCTTGCTGCCTCCCCAATTCAGGGTGGCCTGGGAGGGTCGGCCTGTTCCCCAGACCCCCGTGCCAGCCTCCACCCTTTCCATTTCAGCCACCGGGCCCCTGGAGGAACGGCAGATTGCCTACGTCTGCCGAGAGGCGCTGAAGGTAGCTGGGTCTGCAAGGCGCTCACCGCCCCCCCATCCCCAGGAGTTGCGGGCGGAGAGCCCAGCTGACCAGTGTGTGGAGTGGGTGGGGTGGCCCGAGGGCCTGCGGGCCCTGGGGGGGGAAGGGGGCAAGGGGCCCCGGCCCTGATGCCGGAAGCAGTCGTTTCCCTCTTGGCTCAGCCACTTCCTGTTTGGGGAGAGGGGAGGAGGAAGCGGCTTGGGTGGGGGGCCCCGTCCTGAGAGGGGGCTCAGGGGAGGTGGGACAGTGCCTTCAGGGACTCCTCCTTGTCCCCAGGGGCTCCACCACTTGCACTCTCAGGGGAAGATCCACAGAGACATCAAGGTAGGCGTCTGGCCAGGGCAGCGTGGGAGGGAGACAGCGGCTCTGGGAGCTTCAGGCGGGGTTGTCTCTCCTCTATTCCCACAGGGAGCCAACCTTCTCCTCACTCTCCAGGGAGACGTCAAGCTGGGTCAGTACTCTGGGACCCAGTCAGGATGAGGGCTCTGGGAGCCCTGGGAGTCTTCGAGAGAACCCGGACTCAAGTGCTGGGGATCCTTGGGCAGGTTACTCTGCTGCCCGGGTCTCAGTTTCTCCATTTTAAAAAACGTGCCAGTGTTCCCTTCCTGTTAGAAGTCGGACGAGGTCGGGTGTGTGAGGAATCTGACATGGGACCGGGCCCCGGGTCAGGGACTGAGGGTGGCTGCCTTCTCTCTGGAGATGGACCTGGCTTGCCTGGGGCCTGCAGCCGCTGTGGCCGACCTGGGCCGCCTGCCCATCTGAGCCCTGCCAGGTGCTTCCTGAACCTGAGCCCTGGGGGGTGGGACAGCAAATGGCAGCCTGAGGGCCGGCGGGAGTGGCTGTTTCTCCCCGCAGCTGACTTTGGGGTGTCGGGTGAGCTGACAGCATCTGTGGCCAAGAGGAGGTCTTTCATTGGGACTCCTTACTGGTGAGGCTTATTGGGGTCTGGAACTGAGGGGGTCCAGGGCCGCAGGGGGGGCACCTGGCCATCACCTCTGTGACCCCACCTCTAGGATGGCACCAGAGGTGGCCGCCGTGGAGCGCAAAGGCGGCTACAATGAGCTGTGTGACGTCTGGGCCCTGGGCATCACCGCCATCGAGCTGGGCGAGCTGCAGCCTCCTCTGTTCCACCTGCACCCAATGAGGTCAGCCCAAGCCTTGCCCCTCGCCCAGCCCCTGCCCAGCGGCCCCTCAGCCCTGACCTTGCACCCTCCACAGGGCCCTGATGCTCATGTCCAAGAGCAATTTCCAGCCCCCCAAGCTGAGAGACAAGACTCGCTGGTGAGGGCCCCTGCTGTCTCCCCTTTTCTGCCAGGTCCTGTGGGGGAGGGTCAGCCTCGGTGGGGGCCACATGGGCAGCCTGGGGAACCCTGCCCGCTCTGGGCCTCGGCTGATCAGCTGAGCAAGGGGCCTGGTCCCCCTCTGGGGGTCACCCCTTGTGGACAGGGGTTCCGATGGCAGGGGGCCGCTGGGTCACGGCGGGCTCCTTCCTGGGCAAGCCCAGTACACTCCTGGAGGGATGACGGGGGCTAACCTGGATCTGGGGGTGGGGGGCTCTTGTGCCCCCTAGGACTCAGAACTTCCATCACTTCCTCAAGCTGGCGCTGACCAAGAACCCCAAGAAGAGGCCGACGGCCGAGAAGCTTCTGCAGGTGGGAGGCG